GGGTAGAAGGAGAAAAACATTTCATTTTAAGTGAGTGAGCCCATTGCCATGAGGTGTACGCCACACTAAGAATTGCGCAATTGCGCCTCTGAGGCGCGCCTCAGTCTCAGTGAGGCGTACGCCTCTAGCAGAGATGGAATTGCGTAGGCTTCATTGCGGTTTTGGGAGGAATTGCGCAGAGGCTGCGCGCTTCTTATTGCGCAATTTTAAACAGAGGTATGGTTATAGGCATTCCACAATTTATAAAGCCATTCATCTATTGCAAGAAGAAATTGATATGCATTTCCTATAGAATGAAACTTCTTTTTAACATATTACCAACTAAAAAAAGATTGAAACACATGCTTGTTCACATATCAAACTTCAATAGTTCATATAAAAATGCAAGTGCTTATACATGAAAACTTCAATGTATTCTCATGGTGACTAATGAAATCTTCATAATGCATGTCAACTCATTCAAAAGACATTACAAATATACCTAAAATTTATAATCTTGGTATTTATTAACTAAATTACATAACATACCTTCTTGACGAATTGACTCTACCAATTCTACACCACAAATCCTTTACCTTTGATAAACTATCCCAAAACTTTCTTTTTGCATAAATATACAAATAATCCTACAATACGAATAGTTTATCATCTTTAGGAACTATATTGAATGTGGGGAACATAAAAGGTAACAATAAACAGTATAATTCTTACCTTCTTTATATTTTCTCTCTTGGGCTTCTGATGTAAAACAATCCAGGCAAAAGTGATTTGCTTAAAGAAGTTTGCACGTTTAGATTTAGAGGCAATAATAAGCAAGATCTTATGTGGAATTGAACGATAAGATAAATATTAAGTGGTACATAGCTTAGGTTAACTCACATGCATAGAAGTTAAGTTCAAAAGATAGTCAGCTTAATCCAACATTGCATACACGGATAGTTCCAACATTAGATTCTAATACTAACAATAAGATTAGTCTATGAAAGATCCCTTACACAACTCTTCCTATTACTAGGTTCTAGCGGCGAATAATTGATATGATCTTCATGAATCCATTAATAATCATAAACGAAAAGTAAACTAGGAAGATAAGAGCGTTAGGAAAAGAGTTTCACCCAAGGAATGAAGTCATACAACGTTCCGGTGGTGCTTTGATGGTTGGATCGGAAGTAGGTGGTGCTTGACAGCTTCTTGGATGACTTGGACAGCCGCAATCCACGATCAAATTAATGGGCAGCGAGTCTTGAACATGGGAGAACGATTCCTAGATGTCTGGCCTTTGATGGTTGCTCCTGGAGTGGCTGGGATGGTGATGGGCTGCTGTAGGAAGCTCCAAACAGCCAGCTGGTGGGCGAGGACAACAATCTGTTAAGACCCAGAAAACCTGGACAGTGAGCGAGGTCGTTCTTGCAACCTAGGCATCAAATCTCCTTGTTGAAAATTGCAATACAGCAGGTTGCCCTTTATGGAATTCCGGGACATCATGCTGTAATACCACAGAATAGGAAAACTATGGGGGAGGAGAGGATCCGTTTCAAATTTCAGATTTTTGAAATCTGAAATTAAAATTGATGAAATCTGGAATTAACTATGTGAGAGGAGGCATTAAAGAGGTATTTAAGTGGTGGTGATGTGACAATTAAATAGAAACAATAAGGGAGAGGTGGCCGGCCACATGGAGAGAGAGAAGGGCTTGGTGTTAAGTAAAATGGGGCCCACAAATTAAAGCAGATTTAATAAAAATCTGAACGGAATTCTCAGGTTTCAAATCTGAGGGAGGTTTCCTTAAGCAAGGCAATCAATTAACTCAATTTGAATTTCAAATTGGGATTGAATTACAATTAAGAAGATTGCCTAAAATTAAGGATTTAATTTAGGAAAGTCAATTATGTCTCATGGGGAAATTTGAAATCCCATGGAGGGAGGCCGGCGGCTAGTAGAGGGATGGGGCCAAGGGGACAGGTGGAGGGTCGGCGGGTGGTGATTGCCTGGGAGCTGGCGGCTTGTGGGAGCCAAGGGGGCGGCAGCAAGGCTGATGGGAGGCGGAGGGGAAACTGCTATAGAGAAAAAAAAAAAAGATTGGAATTGCGTAGAATCAAAGATCAACTCAACTCAAGTGATTCCGCTTAGATCTCACAAAGAAATCTAAAACAAAATTTAAGAACTCACTAAGAGATCTTTCAGATGGGGAAAAAGGGAGAGAAGAAGAAAAGATATGGGGTAGAAAACCAAGAGCTCCACCAAGGGGCTGTTGGGTATTTCTTTGAGCCTCTCCTAGGCTTTCCTCACTTGAGAACTCACAAAGAGAACTCTAGAACTCACAAAGAGATCCAAAACCAAAATTTTCATTAACAATAATCATCCCCGTTACATGAAGAGGAGAAGGCTTTAAATAGCCAACGGAATAAAGAAAATACAAAGACACAATTGCCCTTAAGGCAAACACATGACACGGCCCTTAAGCAAGAGCATAAATAGAAAGAAATACAATAAACTCATAAAACATAAAATAAAATATATCAAATACAATAATGATCAAAAGTAGATCGTGGCCGTAGATCATGGATATTCTGATGTCCTCATCATTCTCCCCAGGTGGGAGAAAACTCGACTCTGTCGAGTTGGTGTCTCGAAAACTTGTGCATCTGGGTTTATCTGTTGTAGCTCCTCGCACTCTGACCACGTATCCTTTGACTTTGGTTCACCTCTTCACCTAGTCAAGTATCTTCTTTATCCACCCTCTTTTGTGGCAATAATATCATCACTAGGAATCATGTCAACCTTCTCCGCTATAGGAATTTTGGGAATAATTTTGGGAGTGGAGGTAGGCTTTGGGGTTCTCACAAGGTGGGGTCATACAAGGCTTTATTTGAAGTGGATTTGGGGGTTTAACTCCGAACCGTCAAAGTCTATTAAATCTTTTATGTCAGAAAAGGAATGAATGTTGAACTCTGTAAGCAGATCCACCACGCAAGCGTTGTTATTGATTTTATTGACCATTCTAAATGATCCCGCAGTTCTAGCATGTAATTTCCCGGATGAATCCGCACCATTACTGAGTTACCAACCTTAATAGATTTAAATTGTCGTTTAGAATCAGCATAAAGTTTATACTTATTATTGCTCTATTCAGTTAGGCGTGCAATTTTCTTAAGAAAGTCAAGCATATGTAATGTAAATGCGGCATGTGCTATGCGAATTCATATGTCTAAAATTCAAGACTCAACAAGATGAACATGAGGTGGTGCAAGAGACTTGATATGCAAGATGAATGAAATATGGATTCACACATAAATTTTAAACAAAGAAAATTTTGGAAGACAACAGACTACAAAACATACGCAACAACATACTAACTCACACGAACACATAGCTAGAAAAAGGTGGACGAGTCACAAAAAGAGGGGTTTTAAAGTGTTCGGTTTAAGGGAACTGGTGTAGGGGGAGAAATGAAGACATCTTAGCTACCAGGGCACTTTTATAGATAGTTTCAGTTAGGGTCAATAGCAGTCTCCTAGTGGTAGTAGTGTAATCGAACAAATTCATCCAACTAGGATAGAGGTGGTCCTTATCATGGTAGGACGAGGCTATAACAGGCAAAATGTATGAATCAGGAATAAAATAAGATAATGGGTCCTGATTCACATCCATATGGGGATAGCCCAAAGATTCGTCAGTAGGTATGGGACTTATAAGATGGGGAAGAGTTCCTGGGACATATGTGGGTACAATAGTAAGAGAAACATCAGGAAGGTATGGGCTAACGCTCTGTCGAATATTAAAGTTGGTACAAGGAACGGTGAGGTAAGTCAAATCAGGAATGACACACTTTGCCAAATATAAATCTAAATGAGCAGCTCTAAAGTTATACTCTAATGAAACAAGAGGAGGCTCATTGTGGGCTCTGAAAATTCGGCCCCGGCCTCCCCGCCGCTGCTTTTTATTCGGCGAGGGAGTTTTAACTGACTAAGTTCCGGGGTAAATTTTGGAAGACAGATGAATTTGTAGATAAGACACTACCCAGAGATTTCGCCCTCATTTTGCGAGGACTTTATGATCTGAGTTCTGGTTTCCTATAGGCGCAAGCCCCTATAGTTAATTACCCCTCCCAATAATGAGAGAGAACTTTCGATTAAGGCTAGTCGTCAATCAGATACGTATAAATACGTGTTATCTGGCATATAGTAGCAACAATGGGTATTGGTATTGGTTGGAGAATTTTGGAATTTGGAGAATTGGAAGATTTAGGGATTTCATATTTAAAATAGAAATTGCACCATCTTGCACTTAAAGCGGATGGTGGGGGAATGGATGATGAACCCGATCAAGATCTCATGGTTCTGTCGTCCTGGGCCATCGTGGTCCCTGGTCTACTTAGTTAGAGGAGGTAGTCGACCCAACCGACAGAAGGATCCTTGTCGGCAGCCATGAGTTGCTTCGTCCAAGGGGATCTTGTAGACCTGGGATGAGTATTTGCCTAAGGGGACAAATTTAAATCCACCTTAGCTAACAGATGGCTTTGTGATTTTTGGACTTTGGGATTTTGAGATTTTTGTGGAGTTTTACGGGATTTTTGGATATTTGGGATTTTTTGTGTGGAGCTTTGGAATATAGACTTTGGATATTTGGAAGATGTTTGAAGATATCTGGGAACCCCTCCGGTTGAGATCTGCATTCAACATGGCCATCATCAGAGTGTTAGGAGTCATTTTCATTTAAAGCTTGAACATTGTCGACTCTATCTAGCTGTGGACAGAGGACCGGGCTTCGTAGGCTTTATGCCTTTGAGAGTGAACTCTCTTAATTTTAGGCTTTGAAGGCCTAAAACAAATATTCTAGTCGCCACGGCCACATATTTGTTTGTTGGTTCGAACCTTGTCGACTCCTATTGATCTATATAGAAGGATCGGGTTCGAACTTGAATTCACTTGTCAACCCGCGCAGCATCCCTAGACTTCACGTGTTTACCAATAACATGCTCGCCGGGGCCCATGCGGGTATTTAATTACATTTACCCCTTTTAGTGTGCCTATGTGTATACAAACTATTGTGCACGTGCGGGGGTATTCTTGGAATAGACGCCTTCTGTCTGCTTGTACGAATGTTGCAGATCCGGCAGCGTGGCGTAGCAGCTTCTGAATAGAGTTATTCACTGCTTCGTACAGGTAGACTGTCGTGCACTACTCGTTGCTTTCTGCAGGTGGATCGTAGTGCACTAACTAATCTCCTGCTTTTGATCCGTAGGTGCCTGTATTTATTGTAACTCCTTGGTACTTTGATTGTGAACATTATATTGGGTACGCCATGGGTCTTCTATAGTAGTTTATAGGAGTATGCATCTATCACCAACCCCTCCATACACGTTGATTGGTGTTGGCTATATGAGGATATTATATCCATTACATATATGTTGCTATAGTCTATAAAAGCTCTTTTCATTGTATATTGCATCATATGTGTTTTCCCTTGACTTTGTGGCTTTCATCACCACCTTGTGAACAATTCGTCGAATATACGAGTGTATGGATATATTTGTATAGAATCCATCACTTCTACGTCATTTCAATCAATGTTACTCATGAGTGAATTGCTAGTTCTATTTGTATTGACTTCAAGCGTGCCACAACACTCAATATACATTGGTTGTAGGTCAGACTACTACATGCATTGTCAATTTTCTGTGAGCAAAATTGCTTTGAACGTAGATCTCCCCAACATCATATTTGTTGTGGTCATTTTCCCTTCTTGTTCGAGGATGACATTTTGCATATTATAACGAATCTACATGCAATTTTGTTTGTTACACACCATCTGGTGTTTACTTGTAATGGATTGATGTATCCAGTCATCATTGAAGGGTGATTGATTGTAATAGTGTTGTAGCATTCGCTCATTGAAGTTGATCGTAAAACATTATCACATTCACTTAAATCTGTTTCACAGTCATTTAGAAACTTTCAAAAGTTTCTTGTAGCTGCTTGTAAATGGATCATTCTATATGCAATAGATTTATGTTCATGCTTATAGGTGCATTATTCTATCCACCACAAGTCTTCAACATATGTTTTGCATGTGAATGGTCATGATCATTGCATATTCTTTATATATGACTATTGGTAAGTCATCAAGTTCATTGAGAAATACTATGTCATTGAATGATGTTCTTTACAATCTTGTAGATGAATGATGCTCACATTCCTTTGATTCACAAGCTTTCCTTCTATTTCATTTGTATTTAGAACTCATTGCTTTGCAACTTATGATTTAATTCTAAGCATGATCATGTCTTCTTGCATAAGTTCAAACTCAATTCAAGTCCATTGTTGTTCAAACTCAAATTCTTTGTATTTGTTCATTTGAGTTCAAGTTATGCATAGTCCTTTGTATTTTCTTGTATACAAGTCCAAGTGACCCAAGTTCAAGTTTGAGTCTATGTTCAAATATGAGTCCAAATATGTACCCTTGCTGTCCTTAATGTTCAATCAAATTCAAGCCTTATCGGCTTAATGTTCTAATCAAGTTCTTGTTTTAGATCAAGTCAAGTTCACAATTGATCCAAGCTTGACTTTAGTTCAATACATTTTTTTTTGAGTTCAATTGATGTATTAAGTCATTTAACTCTTGTTCAAAAGTTGAAGTACAAGTCCTTCGTCGTTCTTGCATGTCATTCGAGTGCAATCAAGTCCAAGTCCCAAATTGTTCTCTTGAGTTCAAATGAGATTCAAATGTAGCATTGCTTTCACCCGAAATTTCGGCAGCCTTCCGGCGTCTCTCCCGTTTAGGGAAAAACTACGGAAAACTGGGCCTTTCCCACCACGCTAAGAAAAGCGTGTATGGTAGGTTCCCTCTTTCGAGGACACCGCGGCCGTGTAACTTTTTGATCCCCCACCACGCTAAGAAAAGCGTGTATGGGTATTTTTTTAAAACATTTCGCAAGAAAGTATTTTTTTGAAAATATTTTGCAAGAAAAATAGTTATTTCCCCGCAAGCGGGTACTTATGGGTATCCCCGCTTTGTCTTCCGTTATATTTAATTAAATAATTATAACTAATAATTAACTATTAATTATTAATTAATCATAATTAAATAACTAATTAAAAATTATAATTAAATAATAATTATTATTAATTAAAGTTAATTAAAATATTTTAACCGCCTCCCCCCTTCTCCTTTCTCTACTCACTGGATCCGGCTAAAGAAGCGTGAAAGGGAGAAAGTTACCTTCAAGCCAGCGATCTCCTGTTCTGGCTTCCGATCCGTGACTCCCGATCCAACAGGATGTCGTCGAGGGAGCAAAGTCGATCGGCAGTGAGGGAGGCGAAGAAGCTTCGACTAAGGTAGGAATATGCTCTCTCCTTTCTCCCTCTCTCTCTCTCTCTCACACTCTCTGCTTGTGTGGGTAGTCGGCAGAGGCAGACGTCGTCGAAGGAGGGAAGGTGGGTGGAGTTCGCATGAGAAAGGGGAGCTCGGGATGGGAGAGATAGTCGGGTCGAGGAACCGAGAGCTTCGGTCGAGTAGGATGATGGCTTCGGCTTGGAATTGAGAGGGAGAGTCTTGTGTGGAGCCAGGGAGAGCAGCCGAGAGGTCTCCATTCCTCTTCGTTTTATAGACGTGAAGACGGAGCACAATCGAGGTGAGATCGTGGATTTTGAGCAGGATATGCGGAGAAGCGATGGATTCGGCGCCGAGCTACAGGATTCCAGCAGGATTTGAGCCAGATTTTGCGGAGGATTTCAAGGATCCGACGGGGATACCAGGTATTTTTTCTCTTTTTCTTGTGTTCCTTTGGTCATAAGATTAAGGTCAACACTCATTCAAATCAGGCTAAAACACTTTCAGAATCAAATCATTATCTTCCAAACTCATAGTACTAATCTCAATAGAATCAGGATAAATGAGTTTAGGGTCAATTAAATCGGGAGTTAAATCAGGTAGTAAGTTTAGTTGAACCACTTCCGACTCGAGACTATTACCATCAAGATTCTCCAAAGTCAACTCAGTAGGTGATATAACTATATCAGGATCTTCCGAGTTTAAATTCGATGTGTCCAAGGCCAGATTGGCTTCTTTCAAGATCATATTACTATTGTCCAGGCAGACTTTATCCACAGAGTTATCCTCGAGGAGACTAGGATCAGGGTGGGCTACGGTGTGGATGTTTAAATGTTCCAGCTTTCCTAGCTCAGGGTTTAAGTCATGCTGTGAGCAAACTCCATCACTTCCGTTTCATCCTCAAAGAAGTCCTCATTCTTGATAGTATCTACGAAATGGATGTATTTGGTCTCAGGTTCAGTAGATTTCTTCCTTTTACTGCAATTCTTTGTTAAAATTACACTCGTAGGGTCAAGGACCAGGGAGGCTAAGGGTTGACTGGGATGGCTAGAAGTAGGTCCGAGTGGGGAGTCATAAGGGATTGGTCCAATAGAAAACCCAGTAGAGGGTCGGCCATCAAGGTTAGGTGAAGACCTATAGGGTGGGGCAACAACCCAGATGTTACTAATGGATGGGTGGTCTCGACCACAGTAATGTCCACGGGTTGTCCCAACAAAAGAGGTAGGGTGATGCTCTAGATGACAGTCACTAGTAGAGGGTCGGTATTTCAAATTAAGTTATCGTCTCATGTCTTTCCAAGTAAGGTTCTCACCGCGAGACTCTTTATGATCTTCCGATTTCATCCAAAATTGAAGAGCCCGATCTTTTAAGTGAGACTTAGCGATGCTAACCTGGTGCGACTCAGGGATATGGCATGATTCAAAATAGTCCTCTAGCTAACCCATTCCCTAAAGTAGTAAGGGTCCAAAGAACCATCAAAGGTACGCAGATGATAAGGTGACTCCAAGTGAGGTCGTGGAGGCCTAGGCTCAGGTCTAGGATGATAAGCTGAGTGGGGCATGTAATTAGAGTGGGGATAGTCAACGGGTTTTTCCGTCATAATTCTAGTCATAGTGCCCACTAGGTTAACGATGTCATCTAAACTCTTTTGGAGTCTTATCGGATCCATTGGGAGGCGTCAAGTGACACTCAAAGATGGTTGGGTGTAAGGGACGTCATTGACACAACAAGTAGGCTCACTTAAACTCACTAAAGGGTGTGAAAATAGTTTGGACAGCAAGCTACACTAGAGCGTTAAGTAACCTAGGCACTTAGAAAGGTGGCTAGGTTGAGGACAGCACCTAAAAGCTTAAGAAACTAGCATACAGTTCATTAGATGTGTGCAGAATGTTCTGGACAGCAAACTACAACAAGTCATAAAGTTGTCTAGGTGTTGAGGGAGGGTTAAAAGGTGTGGACAGCAATTTACCACCTGCCTAAACTCACCTAAAGGTCAGATAAAAGTGCTGGAATTGTAAAGACAACAGTGAAAAACAGTGAATAAACTTAGATATGCGATGATATGCATGCAAAAATAAAACTATAACGCAAGGTTAGACCCTAGGATGTTTTTCTAACATGTCATGCATGCCTACCATGCTCTGATACCAAGATGATGTAAAACATTCCAGGCAAAAGTGATTTGCTTAAAGAAGTTTGCACGTTTAGATTTAGAGCCAATAATAAGCAAGATCTTATGCGGAATTGAATGATAAGATAAATATTAAGTGGTACCTAGCTTAGATTAACTCACATGCATAGAAGTTAAGTTCAAAAGATAGCCAGCTTAATCCAACATTGCATACATGGATAGTTCCAACAATAGATTCCAATACTAACAATAAGATTAGTCTATGAAAGATCCCTCAGACAACTCTTCCTATTACTAGGTTCTACCGACGAATAATTGATATGATCTTCATGAATCCATTAATAACCATAAACGAAAAGTAAACTAGGAAGATAAGAGCATTAGGGAAAGAGTTTCACCCAAGGACTGAAGTCATACAACGTTCCGGTGGTGCTTTGATGGTTGGATCGGAAGTAGCTGGTGCTTGACAGCTTCTTGGATGACTTGGACAGCCACAATCCACGATCAAATTCTTGGGCAGCGAGTCTTCAACATGGGAGAACGATTCCTAGCTGTCTGGCCTTTGATGGTTGCTCCCGGAGTGGCTGGGACGGTGATGGGCTACTGTAGGAAGCTCCAAACAGCCAGCTGGTGGGCGAGGACAGCAATCTGTTAAGACCCAGAAAACCTGGACAGCGAGCGGGGTCGTTCCAGCAACCCAGGCATCAAATCTCCTTGTTGAAAATTGCAATACAGCAGGTTGCCCTTTCTGGAATTCCGGGACAGCCTGCTGTAATACCACAAAATAGGAAAACTATGGGGGAGAGAGAGGATCCGTTTCAAATTTCAGATTTTTGAAATCTGAAATTAAAATTGATGAAATCTGGAATTAACTATGTGAGAGGAGGCATTAAAGAGGTATTTAAGTGGTAGTGATGTGGCAATTAAATAGAAACAATAAGGGAGAGGTGGCCGGCCACATGGAGAGAGAGAAGGGCTTGGTGTTAAGTAAAATGGGGCCCACAAATTAAAGCAGATTTAATAAAAATCTGAACGGAATTCTCAGGTTTCAAATCTGAGGGAGGTTTCCTTAAGCAAGGCAATCAATTAACTCAATTTGAATTTCAAATTGGGATTGAATTACAATTAAGAAGATTGCCTAAAATTAAGGATTTAATTTAGGAAAGTCAATTATGTCTCATGGGGAGATTTGAAATTTCAAATTTCAAATCACAAAATAAAGATAAATACTAGCATAAAATAAAAAATAAATTGCAAATTAATCTGCAATGATATTTTCCTTTTCCTTTCTTGTAACAATAACCAATAAAAAAGATACTAGTGAGCTATGAGGCTCTATAAGCTTTGCAAATTAATGAACGGTTAAAATACAATACTTGTAATAAAAGAAAACATTGAAATCATCATTGAATAAACTTACCCTTACTTCTAAAACATTAAAAAATCATAACTAACATCACTCTTTATTTCTTTCTTCTGAAGTTTACATTGAATATCAATTTTAGTCTGTAACAGATTTGACTACACTTTCATAATAATATTTAATGAAGCTCAGGTAAACCTGACATTATCGCCATTGAATTATATAGAGGCTCCTTTTACCTCTTTAGGGGTATATTTTGCCCCACATGTTATGCAGGTATCATATTTTTTAAGATCCCTTTTGCCCAATCTACAATACAAGTTTCATATTCTGGACCCTTTTGCTCACTTGATATTGCATATATCATTTCATAGAATAGTCAATATTTACTAATTTAATATTCAGTAAAACTCATATATTCCTAATGCATAACTGTTTAGTATGGTTATAGGCATTCCACAATTTATAAAGCCATACATCTATTGCAAGAAGAAATTGATATGCATTACCTATAGAATGAAACTTCTTTTTAACATATTACCAACTAAGAAAAGATTGAAACACATGCTTGTTCACATATCAAACTTCAGTAGTTCATATAAAAATGCAAGTGCTTATACATGAAAACTTCAATGTCTTCTCATGGTGACTAATGAAATCTTCATAATGCATATCAACTCATTCAAAAGACATTACAAATATACCTAAAATTTATAATCTTGGTATTTATAAACTAACTTACATAACTTACCTTCTTGACGAATTGACTCTACCAATTATACACCACAAAGCCTTTACCTTTGATAAACTATCCCAAAACTTTCTTTCTGCATAAATATACAAATAATCCTACAATACGAATAGTTTATCATCTTTAGGAACTATATTGAATGTAGGGAACATAAAAGGTAACAATAAACAGTATAATTCTTACCTTCTTCTTTATTTTCTCTCTTAGGCTTCCTTCACTGTTTTCTTCAAAGAAATTGCTCACTCTCTACAAACTACAATTTATCACCTAGTTCTAAATTAATCACATCTAAATCTTCATCATAGTTTTCAAATAATTTTCATTTTAATAGGGTTTTAATACTTGATTTCCTTTGTTTTACTGCCACAAAGAAATTCCTTTCATTTTTTCACTGGAAAAATGCCGCTCCTTTCAGAAAATCCCTTCAGTCACTTTGCTGAATTTGCTATAGAGAAACAACACTATGCCAAAATCTGCTATAGGAATTTCTGGTCACTGTGCCGCTATTTTTAGGTTGCCGTAACTCTTAAATCCTCCACAAGCACTGTACCAAACAGTAAAACAGGGAAAACATGCACTGTACTGATTCTTCCAATAGGATTTGCTTGCGGCACTTCATGTTTGTGTGAATTCTAAACACAGAAAGGAAACAGAGAAAAGAATCTGTTGGTTCCGTCAAACATATCAGATAAGAACTTTTGTGAAGGCCCACTCACATAACTGCATAACTGCTTTCACATCCCTATCTAAGCATCTATTCAGGAATTAATTAGATATTTAATTTACTATATTTCTTAATATAATTACTAATAATTACTTAATAGTTATCTACTTATTTATAAAAAAATCACAATTCCACTAAAATAAATTTTATTTACCTAATCAGTTTGGATTCATGTGATGCTAATGTTTCTAAAAGTCAGTTTGGATTCATGTCGGGTAGGTCTAGTATGGAAACTATATATTTGTTGAGAGGTTAGTTGGAGAAGTATAGGTAGAGTAATGAGGATCTAAATGTGATATTTATTGATTTAGAGAAAGCGTATGATAATGTTCCAAAAGAAGTGCTATGGAGAAATCTAGTAAAAAAAGTAGTTAATAATACTTATATTCAAATCATTAAGATTATGTATGCAGGAGTAGAGGAGCTATTATTTTGTTCAAACACAAGGTGTTTGACCAAGTATTTTCCTATTTCAGTTATATTACATCAAGGATCAGTTTTAAGCCTATATTTTTTTGCTTTAGTTATGGATGCTCTTACTATACATTTGCAAGAGGATATACTTTGGTGTATGCTTTTTATTGATGATACTCTTCTTGTTGATAAGACTAGAGAGGGAGTTGATAAAAACTTGAATTACGGAGATCAACCTTCGAGTCTAAAGTTTTTCATTTGAGAGATCTAAAATTGTATACATGGAGTGTAATTTTAATAATAATTGATCTAGCTGTGAGATTGTGACTTTGGGTGATCAAATCATTAAAAAGAGCATGTTTTAGATGCCTTGAGCCTATTGTTCAAAGCGATGGTGAAATAGATGAGGATATTATTAGCAAAGTTCAAGTTGGACGGTTTAAGCGGAGGACAATATCGGGTGTATTGTGTGATAGAAAAGTTCTTCTCAGACTTAAGGGAAAATTTTATTAGATGGTGGTAAGACCTGCAATGCTTTATGACACATAATATTGGCCGTTAAAAGAGAAACATAAAATTAAGTTAAGTGTTGTAGAGATGTGGATGCTCAGGTGGATGAGTAGCTCCACTGGAAAACAAGATTGGAAAGAGTCTCCTTAGATGGTTTAGTCACATAAAACATTGGCCTTTCGAGGACCCTATTAGGAAAGCACGTGTATTAAATGACCTATGTTAAGAAAAGTAGAGGTAGACTTAAAAGACTGGTTTAAAAATAATAAAAAATGATATATTTTTTATTAGATTGAAATGAGAATTTGACTCTTAATTACGACACAAGAGAGAAAAATGATTCGTATAGCTAACCCCTTGTAATGGGATAAAAACTTCTTGTTGTTGCTGCGGCTACTGAGATCTTTTGCTGCATTCATTGGGCATCAGAAGATCAAACCTTTTTAAGTCCTTTACATTCCCTGTTCAAGGATTATAAGTTTGTGCGGCTTAGCAAGGACTCATTTTCTTGAGATCTAAACAATTCAATGGGACAAAGCTAAAATCAGAAGTAGTGAGTGCAAAACTCCATTCTTAGTTACAGAAAAGTTACCTCGAAGATATGTGATAGTGGCACATATTTTTATTATTATGTGAAGTTTAGCCTGAATTTTGATAATGGTCATGTTGCATTTTTTTTAATCCACTCTATGGTGACTGGATTTATGTGCAGAATATTTATCAAATATTATAATAAAAAGTTTAGATTGTTCATCATTACTTTTATTATTTTGTTTGCTTTCCTTTTCTTTATAAGATATTGCCTTCCTATATGTTGCTTAGATAATTGCTTGCTTTTAAATGGATACACAGATGCCGTAGTTTTGTAGGATACATTTGCTCTTGTGCTATAAAATCTGATGCTTTGTTATATTTACAGCCTTGTTCTATGGGATTTGCAACCGGTGGGAAGACTTTTTTCTTGTGGGGAGGCTGCATGATGGTAGAAATTGCAATTTTTTTTTTAACCATGTTCTCATCCTTTCATCAAAGCTGAAATATATCTTTTGTATCCCTGATTCTATTAGTTTTATACTTAAGATGCATGCAGAAGATTTCAGAAAGGATGCATATGGTGTGGTCACTGGACTTCGAGATGGTGGATACTCAGATGATATGACTCTTGCAGCAATAGCCGGTGGCAGTTTTCTTTATGATTGTCTTTTTATTGAATTTTTTAGACAAGTCTGCTTTTTAAATTTCCTTTTGAGGGAATAGGAATGTGCTGTTTGTCCTTTCTTGGGAGGTAGGATATATGTATATACATATATATATATATATATATATATATATATATATATAAGCAGAATTTGCATGATGGAAAGCTATTGAAGTATGCATTAGTATTCTCTTCTACAGTGTGAAAACATAATAAATCTTTAGCTTTTTAAAATTACCCGAATATACTATTATATTGCTGTTTCCTATGACCATTTGCTTGTTTTTAGGGGAGGTATGGATGATAGCCACAGTGGACTCATGTTTTTTAATTAAAGATTTATGTGTTAGTTAAAGTATTGAAGTGACACTACAAGAAATGCAATAATTTCAAGTGGACATATTCGTCGTAAAACTTTGAAAATCTGCTGAAAATAGTTTTCGATGGATTTCCGACGGAATGCTATACATCAGAAAATCAAGTGTTAGAAACGAATCAACGACTGAATATTTACGTTGGAAATTGGCGGAAATCTGCAAAATTAGTGACGGAATATTTCCGTTGGAAATTATTTTGGCGGAATTTTGATGGTTTTGGAAATGAAAAAAGAGGCTTTTTTTGGTAGAATATTGGCGGAATTTACCAACGGAATTTTCGGCAGAATACTGGTTGACAATTCTGCCAGAAATTTTCAAAATTCGGATGGAAAGTTCCTCTAGAATCTCAATACAAAATTTGTCCTATCGATCTTTTGACGAAAAATTCGTCAGAATCCTGTAGTATAGATAAAAATACCCTCTCCTTTTAATTGTTCTAAAATATAATACAAAACTAATAGGAAACAATTCTAGTAGTTTAGTTAGGTTAATATTTCAACATTGCAAAAAATATTAATCAAATATTAATTACACTATACTCAAACTATTCTCAAATATTGCAACAGCTCTACAATTACCAAACAGTTTTGTAATAATCTTACAGTTCTTATACTTTAAAAACCAACAAAATATTTACAATCACAGACAATCTACTTTGAATCTGTATCCTCACTCAACTCGGGTCATGCAAGTTGTTTTCCATTAAATTGCTCCATGATTCCTTGAAGCTCCTCCAGTATCTAACATTGCTACATTTTCTTGTCTGCTTGTGATTTTTGAACTTACTCTAGCTACCTGTTGACTAATCATGCATTGCTAGCTGCTTGCTGAGAAGCTTAAGGAACTAGAGGATTATCTCTCTAGTGTATAGGCCTGCGAGCCTAATCCCTAAACTCTCTCCTTCTACATTCCGCCTACCACCTGTGACCATATGCGATAGTTGGAATAATCTGCTGATCCAACAGATGATCCCTCACCAACAGTTTGGCTCTCTTGAAGTCGTGTATACTCCTACAAATGATAACCTAATATTAATCATTGTATGTGTCACTTAAATTATTTCTATTAATATTTAAAACTTAGAGACTCACAAAGGCTCTCATTGCTCGCTCGTCCACCCACTGTTGGTCCTCCTAGCACTAGTGGCTATTGACCTCCACTAGAGCTTGAATTCCTGCTCAAATCTCGGCTATATGTCGCTTCCTAAAAACCTGCTCAAATCTCCGCTATTCGGCACCGTTTACGTCGCTTCCCCCAAATCCTATGCCGATGTCGTTCACGCTCTACTCTCGATTTATAGAAGGGAGGAGAAGAGGAGCCTTCGGTTTCGGTTCCCGCACACAAGCAACTGCCCCGATTCCCCTCTACCCTTCAGCATTAGCCGAACATTCCACCTCCCTTTGTTCACCTTTACCTGCACTATTACATCACACCACCTAGATCCTTGTCCGGCTTTAATCCATCAAACCCACAACCCGCCGTCACCCCCCTTGCTATAGTTGATCTAGCTTTTGCCAACCAAGGCCCACTCTTTTCTCCTACTCACAACAGTTTCCCTACATCTACCCAACAATCCAAATCAGCCAGGCTGATCTCGTAGATGATCCTACTCACAATAGTTTCCCTACATCTATCATACATTCTTTTCGTAGAGTGGTAGAAAGACCCAGCTCTACAAAATTCCCCTAAATGGGGGAGACATTGGGAGGTTACTGAAATTTGAATTGATGACACACAGGACTTCATCAAATAATACAAAACCGGATTTGAGTTGAACCATAGAGAATTGGACTTAAATTAATATTCTAAAAATAAAAAGAAACCAAATATAATTTGCTATGCTGTTATCGAAAGAACCAAATGAATTTTTGTAGTGGACAAAACAACTTTTCTATGGATACGAATATGCAACATTACAATAATCATGACAACATGCCTACTAGCGTGTGTAGGAGAATTATAGTGAATACAATAATTGACCTATGGGCATGATAATACATATATAAATTGGGGATAAGACCAATTATAAATATTAAATCTATATAAATTTGAAAAAGTTCATTATATTACATACATTGAAATTGGTACGTGAGACCTCTGGGTTAAAACTAAAGAGTATATTGCTTGAGTCAAAGGCTTTTTAAGGGTTTCCCAACATTGACATTTTCACGCATGCAAGGATATAGGAGTTTTGATAGGAAATACTTGAGTTCACAAGTAACCCTAATGGGAATACTTGAGTTTGCAAGCAAACCTAACAATAATCGGTAAATTCAGCAAGAAAAATAGAAAAAGTTGGGTGGAAGCAATCAAAACAAGTAGATAATTTTATAGAAATCAAAGCGAAGCAAGAACGAAACAAATAAACAATTGATTTATAGAAATCAAAGTGCAGCAAGAACGAAATAAAGATACAATTGATCCTCAATTCGAGAGGAGGATCTCTCCCAATCTCTAGACGAGATGCCTTGAGCCCAAGACACCAAAGAGAACTTCAAGAGAAACAATAATCATGCATACCTTAACCCTAGCCTTTCATGTTCTTTAAATACAATACTTCAAAATAAAAAGCTTCATAATATAAATTAATTTTAAATTGTCCTCTTGCTTAAACCGCCCTCTCTCTCTCTCTCTCTCTCTCTCTTATTGCCGTCCAAGGAGGTGGGGCCCATTTGATTAGGCGGTTGGGTTTAGAGGAGGTGGCTTAGTCCGCCTCCTATAAGTCTGAACCGGCCCCTCCTGGGTCGGTTTGGACTGAGGCGTAACAAGTTTCTGAAGATTTTCAAAAATTAGGGTTTAATTGGGGAGCATGCAAAATTTGTGGAGATGCAATCAAGAAGGGCAAGAAGCACATGTTTATTGGGAAAAATGATAATTTAAATGCTAATTAGGGTTTTTAAATGCAAAGACTGATATTCCTTTTTTGTTTTATGCAACTTGAAGAGAGATTTGCCAAGGTTTTATGCCAACTAGGAGGGGAGTGAGAAAAAAAAGAAGGCCAGTCTCCCTCTTTGGGAGTCAAGCCATCTCTTTGTGATTTGTTCACTAAAGCCCTTTTGCACCAGGCACCAACTATAAAAGATTTATGAGAGGGGCATCGTGTATGATAAGCTCTTCGATAGGAAAGAAAATGAGAGGGTCATCTAGGATAATTAAGAGGGGAAATAGTGAGAGGAATAGTAATTTAAATAGTTGAGTTTCAAATTACTTTCTAAAGGCCTTCTAAAGAAAAAAAACTATAACTCCTCTGTCATTTTAATTAAATTATGTAAAAAAACAGTAATGTATTAATTTACTTATTTATTTGAAAACGTCCTACCTATAAGTTAAAGATTCTGGGACATTTTTTGAAGCCAGTAGAAATGGACAATAGCCACACTATTCAGAACTTATGATTTGTTGCACATCCATGTCGAACAATGCTAGTTCATCCTCGTCATAATTGAACAACCACTGCATGACTACTACCTTGTGGTCTTCACTTGGGTTCAAAACACACTTTGGTTAATGAGTTAATATCCTTAACTCATTAATTTTTTTTTTGCATTCTAAGAGGGAGGTATCAGCTATCCTCCCTCTCTCTCTCTCTCAAGTATCATTTTATCTCAACCTACTTTTTACCTAAAGAGGACAAAAAACACATGCTTTTAGCTTTGGAGTAATATTTTTTGCTTTCTCTAAAACAAAATCATCCTAAAAAAATCCTCCTCTTTCACCTCCAATGCCACCCATGCTCGGGAGATGGATCAAGGAGCTCCTACTATCGCCACTTCAAAGTGTAAATATTATTATTATTATTATTATTAAAAACATGTTCCATAACAAACTCTAATTCAAATATTACAAACACAATCCAAATCTTAGATCAATTGGACCTAAGTAGGAATAGTTATCCAAAATCCTAAATAACATTCGAAGTACCTAATAAAAAAAAAATCCAAATAATCCTAATTTCATGAGGTGGCTGGCCAATGGATAATTCCTTGGGTTCTTATGATCCTTATAATGCAAGAAGCTTACTGTCATCTCTTTGAAATATCGAGTACCCTTAGGAGGTTCTTAGGATTTTTGAAAGCTTTGGAAGATTCCAGAATATACAAATCATGAATATTTCCTTTAACATTAAATGAATGAAACTTTTTTTTTGGTTTGATACTGAAGAGGTCTAATTGTAATTAAGGTCAACAAGTTATCACTATTATGAGTTGAAAAGATTAGCTGATGGGTTGCATGGTTAAACCTGAACATAGGTCAGTATGGACTAATTCTGCTGCATAAATTATTCATCCAAAGATGGACTTAATCATATACCAAGGGTCTCTTGGATCAGTGTTGTGTTTTTCACTGCATAGCCTTGTTAGTTTCTCCAAATATTTAAAGGTCACGAGCACTTTAGTCATCCTCAGGCCTATGGTTATGAATTTAAGAGGCGAACCTCTTTTCATTATTTCCATAATCACTCAATCCAAATCTATTTCTTTTCCATTATTCTTTTTTAATGTTATTTCCATAAATGAATTTCAGACTTAGATGAATATTTATTCCTCCTTTTGTACCTTGAATACATATTTGAAGTTTCTAAAGAATGGTTTGTTTTTCTGATTAGGGGCTCACAAGAAGCTTATTTTTTCACCACCTGTGGCTGTATTTCCCCATCCTCTTCAAAGTGATCTTACCTTCCCTAGGTATCGATTTGCCACTTGCTACTGCTAGTAGTAGCAGAAGAGAAAATTAGAACGATCGTGTAAATATATCGGAAACAAGTTTTTTTTTTTTATTTATGATATTATGTTTTTGTTATATGTTATTTATCAATGCCAAGCATTCAAATTATGTCATTTTAACGTTACAGGTACTGGAACTACCTCAGGAAGCAAACATTTGTTTTGGAATCATATATTGATAATGTTAACTGGATGATGAACCGTGCACTGTTTTCTTCACACATCTATTTATCATGGTCATTTGTTGTGCCATACTTTATGGCAATGATGCATATAGGAGCAGCATTAAGAGCACCATATAGCAAATATCCAGTCACAGAAAAAACCTCATCCTATGGTGAGTGTATTTCCAAGTTTGCCCTCTTTAGCTATCAACCCAAATTTTCCCAATCTTATTGATTGATTGTTCTGCTCTATGTATTATTTTGGTTTGTCTTTTCTTTTCATTGAACCTGCAAAATTGCTTTTTAGAACTGTTTTGGAGATGATTCGGATGTTGCGTGTTGGGAATAGACGTTAGGTCTTTGATGTTTCTTGCCCTTTGGTTTGTTGATTTTAAGTCATATTGGTAAGGTTATAAAGGGGTAGACCAAAAGTAACAATTGCAATTTACCTACGAATTGTAGTCTTTTAATTTGGAGTGGAGTTAGGTGGTGTTGCCTTAAATCATATCTATGATTAGCGTTCAAGTATAAGGTTATTTTCTTAGAGGCATAATTATTTGAGGATCTCCTAAAATAGTATGGATGTAGAAGTATTTGAAATTATTATTTTTGTATAAATATCGATCTCTTTGCATATCTTTTGTCTGTTATCCAAATTAACAGTTTTTCAAGATAGACTGAAGAGTTTGGTTTTACAAGTAGTAGTTGTCATCTTCATAGAACTTGTTTCATTTTTCCCTAGGCCTGCCTCTATCGGGCTGCTTGGCTGTATGCACTATTGTGGAACTCCTTGCTATGTGGAACTTAACTAAAGTGGAGGTCCAATTGTGCAACATGCTATCTCCGGAGGGGCCAAGAGTCTCACTGCGGTCGTACAATTGGGGACTTGTAAGTGTTACAAATGTTGCATTTGCATCACTACTGCTGTTTAGCTTTAGTTAGTAGAGTTTATTTTTCATTTTGAAAGTATTTTACCCTAGCTTAGTTTTTTATTTGAGAGTTTTGAACTTGATACCTTGAACAGGTATTTGTTGCAATGCTGGTGGACAATTTTTTATATCCCATATCTTCAATGCGATCACACTTTTCACAAACTATCAACTGGTCTGGTATTCGATACCACTTGAAAAGAGGGAAAGTAGATAAGGTATGCATGTCTTACCAGCATGATTTTTGGTTTAGAATGAAAAAGATGTTATTTTCAAGGTGCCGTAATAGCCATGACTTAAAAATTTAAGTTCTAAATGGTTATATTTTCTGCAAACTTTTCAAGGTTTGTATTTGCTCGCATCAAGAAATCATTGAAACTAGACATGAGTTAGGAAATGGATAGGATTGGGAACAAGTGTAACAACATGGGAATGAAAAGTATAGGCTTACTCGCATAAAATTTAATCTTTGTTTATATTTCAATGTTAATTCCTAAAATTATTACCTAACCCCTTGTACTTTTGGGTTTCAGAGGTTGTAGCCCTGGTGCTCAATTTTCTCCTTTCGAACATAAATCTTTTCCTCTTCTCTCTCTCTCTCTTGCTCCCCCTCTCCCTCTCCCTCTCTCTTTATATATATATATATATGCTATTAGTCAGTGAGCACATATTATGCCAATTAGGAAGAATAGAAAAATTGATTGAAGGATACATTATGAATAATCATAAAAATATATCGACATATAAAGATATAAAATAGATATAAATATATACTGTTTCCATAAATTTGCTCTTTGTATGTCAAGCCCGATCCTAATCAGGGCAAATTTGGTTAAGCCTAATCAGGGCAAATTTTGACAAGAACCAAATTCAGGATCTGCGTTAGCATTGTGATGCTGACTTGTGTGTTTATGTTTGGCAAATAATCAAACAAATAAATGACCTAAGCATATTATTTTAATTTCATCTATTTGGTAGTTTTATGTTATTTTCTAATTTTAATTTTTTAAAGCATTCCTGTGAGTATGTGTCATATAAGAATTGGACGCGTTCTATTTAATTGTGATGTCCTTGGTTCGGCTTATCTCTATCTTAGATGGCTCAAGTGGATGGTTTAGGTCCGAGTTGTTGTTGTTGATTTTGTTGTCCCTATGAATAGTTTATAGCCGGTCTCATTCTATTAGGAGCTATTTGATTAGGTTCCTGTAGCACTTATAAGTTTTTATTGCAGTTTAATCTCACATGCTGGAGTACTTTGAACTTATGGGTGGAGCTATGTAGCTTTAAATCTACATTTCCTGTAGTTTTGAATCGTTGGTTCCTATATCTTTGAATCAATAGTATTTATGGCTTTCATCGATTCCTCTAAATATTTTCCTATAACCAAGCAAATTTAGTTATTTTTATAAAACAAATCTTGTAGTGGGTTTCCATGGCTTTGTTGAGCATCTCCTGTAGCAAGCTCCTATGACTTCGAATCAAGAGGGTCCTATATGGGTTTTTTTATTCACAGTACATTTATTCATAGCTTGCAGGATTATTATTTCAGCCCGAACTTTTTATTATATTTGGGCTTAGTCCACATCACTCAAGACATTGTAATTTAAAGGAAACAATTTTAGGTCGATGCTTATAAATATTAAGGTGTGAATAATGTAAAATTAGTTTTTGATCATTAAAATTTGAATTATCATAGTTTTACTTTCAATCATATCTAGACCTATTAGATGTGGGATTCCTTCGTGTATGATGGGAATACAGTAGCTAACTTCATGGGTATTTTATTTTATTTTGTACCATTAGGTGTCTTGGATTTTCGTCAATTTAGTGATTGTTTTGCGTAATTTTTTTCTTCATAATTAATTTATTATTGATATTTGCAAGTCTTCATTTCGATTGAATTGACAACTATTAATTAAAAAAGAAACAAATCAATCGCTTGTTGATTTTATATGGTTATAATTTTTTATTGATTTCATTGAGTTTAATCGATCATTATTTTATTATTTTGATTATATTTACTTATTTGTTATTATATATATTAAACACTACTATTGCCAGGTCCTAAGTCCTGGATGAGAAAAGTGAAGGGTTGCTTTAGGTAGTTGACAACCAGCGTAAAACTTGTCGAATAATCATGACATGAATCTCTTAAAAATTTTTGTTAATGCTAGAGCATCTCCTGAAAGTGATGCGTTGCATGACTAGAATATATCGACAAGTTTGCAAGAGCCGCTGCACTGGCGCCCGGGCGCAGTGTTAAATAGGCAAGGGTTCCCACATCAAGGATATATGTGGGCGAAGAAGTTAGTCCATGAAACTTAAATTAGAATAAGAACTTGAAATATATGTTCTCATATAGAAAAATTAATAAAATTAATAGATATTATGATTCATAGTAAGATAAATATTATGTGTATTCAGGAAATTAAATGGGTTGGAGTGAAGGCTAAGAAGATTGATAGTCTAGGATTTAAATTATAGTATTCGGGTAGGAGTAGTATTAGAAATGGGATATTGGTGATCATATATAAGATTTTGAAGGATAATGTTATAAAAGTTAATAGAATTGTGGATAGAGTTATAAGTTTAAAGATTGTTGTTGATGCTAAGATTATTAATATTATAAATACTTAGCTCTTTAAGTAGATTTGGATAGGAGTTCAAAATTAAAATTTTAAAATAATTGAGAAGAATTAATACAAAAGATACTTCTTGAAGAAAGAGTTTTTATTGGAGTAGATTTAAATGGACATGTTGGTAGAGATATAGATGATTTTAAAAGCATTCATGGTGACCATAAGTTTGGAACGACAAATGAAGGTGGTAAAATCAAATTAGATTTTTCTTTAGCTTATAATTTTTTCATTTAATACCTTATTAAAGAAAGTAGATGAGCATCTCATCACTTATAAAAATGGATATAGTAAAACTCAGATTGATTATTTTTTTATAAGAAAGTTAAATCGTTTAGATTGCACATATTGCAAAATTATTCCGAGAGAAAATTTATGTACCCAATATCGATTATTAGTTTTGAACTTTAAGATAAAGGGGCAAAACATAAAAAATAAAGTAAAACGATAGTCTACGATTAGATAGGGACATTTAAGAAATATTAATAAAATATTTTTGAGAGTAAGATTTTAGATCTTGAGATTTTGTCTGTACATGAGGATGCTAATGTTATGTGAAAAAAAATGGCTAGTGATATTAAGAATATTATAAAAGATTGCTTGAAATTGACTTGTTCGCTGCTTTGTACAGGTAGACTGTCATGCACTACTTGTTGCTTTCTGTAGGTGGATCGTAGTGTACTAACGAATCTCCTGGTTTGTTTGTTGATGAAAGCATTCACATGATACATTTATTCGTGGTCATTATTTTGCATACGAGTCTTCTAGAACTGACTACAGGCATTTGTATTTGCTGTAGTCATTCTGCATTTTGTCTGTGGTTGACGCACTGGACGTACAGTAAACCTTCTATAATGGCCCCCTGGGAAATTACATTTGTTATACATCACCTGCTTCTGCTTGCAGACGAGGTATTGTGTATATGATGGATTCTGGATCCTCACCAACTGTGTGACTCTTTTTATCGTTCATGAACAACTCATTAATTTTGGTGAACTGTTGTATAAATAAGGAGTCATCTATAGTGGCTCATAGGGGCTTCCACATGTACTAGTAATCTTGTCTCATGAAGAATTATTATTTTCAATCAAGCTAACATGCTTCCTTGGAGTTGAACACTATCGATTGCACATATACTTCATTCATCCTAACCTCATTGAATGCATCAAACCGTCATATTCATTGCATGTCAAATCACACTGTTGGTAGAGGAAAAATGATCATAGATCTTGTACCATTGCTTGCGAGCCTGCCATCATATTTCTCACTCTGATCTTTACTTACAAGCGGATTGTCCTTAGGGTTCTTTATCCACTAGGGATTCTTGCATGTTAATTGGACTTGCATTTGTTGTAGGCAGCAATCTATCATCTTCGTTTGCAAGTAGACTATTACATGCTCATTTGTACACTGGTTTATGTTGAACAATGAGAGAGGCCACCTCTTCTACATCTCCCTCGCTCTGCCTGTACTCTTGTTATATTCGTTGCATATGACGATGGTCCCATCATCACGATCATTGCACAATTCTTAGTATCCTCCCTTCTAGACAATTAATTGAGCATTCTATTGATTATCCACCATTCATAAGAAGCCTTTCAATCTTCATTGTTTGTAATGGTTGGTTAGTGAAATGTAGGGATTTTCCCTAACCCCACCAAGAACTTTGCATGTATGAGGTTTGAATGGATCATACACCTTAATTAGCACTTGAATTCTAATTGGAATGATAGTTCCATTCATATCTTGATAATTCCTCAAATCAAATTCATTATTTCTCATCTATTGGTGTTCATTTGAATATATGTTAAATCATATGATATTTTGAACTTGGTTCACTCAAACCCCTTTGAGTTATTGCTCAAGATGAAGTTCTTGATAAATCACTTAGTTTATTTAGGTCCATCTTTAAATTAGATTTAAAGTCATAAATTATTGCTCACTTCAATTTCAATTTTATTGTAGATCACTTCTCTTAATTAAGCTCAAGTTCAAATTGAGTTCGAGCTATCTTGCTTTTGTTTGAGTTCAAATGCATCCCCTTGTTGTTGTCAACTTCGGTCCACATTCAAGTTCACTTTAGTTCGAGTTCAATTCAGCTTGAGCCCGAGTTCATGTTCAAGTACAAGTCTTAGTTTTAGTTCATTTAATGTCAATGTTTAAGCTCAAGTCCAAGTCCACATTTTGTTCAAGTCTTAGTCTTATTTAAGACAAAATTTTGGCAGCCTCCTGACGTCTCCCTCATTTAGGGAAAAAAACCAAGAGGCAGCCTTTCCCTCGACGCTGCATGAGCGCTTCAGGTAGGTGTCAAATGACACCGTGGTTGCATTTTTTTATTTAGCCCCGTCCGCTACTTGAGCATTTAAGGGTTTTGAGCACATTTTTAAAAGAGCACAATTTTCTTTTCCCCCTCTGCACTACGTGAGTGTTTGGAGGTATTTATTATTATTATTTTTTATCCCCCTCGCTGCAAGCGCCGCGCCGGTTTCCCTCCCTACTACGCTACGTGAGCGTGTAGGGGGCTTGCCGGCTCGCCGCTAGCATTTAAGAAGGATTGTTTTGGTCGTCGCAATGCCGCGCCG